CACACCTAACAAGTAAAAATACACACCTAACAAGTAAAACTATACGCATAATAAACATGTGTAGAATGATTTAAGGTCCCTCACTCTCACATTTTTCTGTCACTTCTAGTATTTGTACACTGGTTACTCAATTTTTACCTCTATAATATTCATAAAATGTCAGTCAGTCACCTCTATTATATGTATAAATGTCAATCAGTCACCTCCATTATGTGTATAAATGTCAGTCAGTCACCAATATTATATGTATAAACGTAAGTCAGTCACCTATATTATATGTATAAATGTCGGTCAGTCACCTCCATTATATGTATAAATGTCAGTCAGTCACCTCCACTATATGTATAAATGTCAGACAGTCACCTCTGTTATATGTATAAACGTAAGTCAGTCACCAATATTATGTGTATAAATGTCAGAAAGTCACCTCTATTATATGTATAAATGTCAATCAGTCACCTATATTATATGTATAAATGTCAGTCAGTCACCAATATTATGTGTATAAACATAAGTCAGTCACCTCTATTATGTGTATGAATGTCAATCAGTCACCTCCATTATATGTATAAATGTCAGTCAGTCACCTCCATTATATGTATAAATGTCAGTCAGTCACCAATATTATGTGTATAAACATAAATCAGTCAGTCACCAATATTATGTGTATTAATGTCAGAAAGTCACCTCTATTATATGTATAAATGTCAGTCAGTCACCTCCATTATATGCATAAATGTCAGACAGTCACCTCTATTATATGTATAAATGTCAGTCGGTCACCTCTATTATATGTAAAAATGTCAGTCAGTCACTTCCATTATATGTATAAATTTCAGTCAGTCTCCTCCATCATATGTATAAATGTCAGCCAGTCACCATTATTATGTGTATAAACATAAATCAGTCAGTCACCAATATTATGTGTATAAACATAAATCAGTCAGTCACCAATATTATATGTATAAACGTAAGTCAGTCACCTATATTATATGTATAAATGTCGGTCAGTCACCTCCATTATGTGTATAAATGTCAGTCAGTCACCTCCACTATATGTATAAATGTCAGTCAGTCACTTCCATTATGTGTACAAAGTCAATGGTCACTCACTTTTCTCGGTCATCTCGGTTGATGGCCACCATTGATGCTCGGTCCCAGATAGCATCAAACTGACCAGCAACATCTCTGTAAGAAATTAAACAAACATGTATATGGTACAATAACAAGAAAATTGGAACAGGCAAGGCTGAAATTCAAATATGTATCCTCCTAATTTTAGAAGGATGCTCTAACCGACCTATTCATTGGCAATCTATTTCATATCTACAAGACATACACTATTATACTCTCTGTACTACAGTCTGGAAATCGTAATTTTACTAAATTAAGAAACTCTTCCATAATCCTAAAGTCAATCAAAATTAAGTAAGAAATTATCTTGCGAAATAGTATGAAAAAGCTGACATGAAAAATTCATAGAACACAACTTAATGTAGGCATTACAGGGAAAGATATAAGTATATACCAGGTAAAGAGACCATAATCAAAATAGTCACCCGGGTATTACAATAAAAATATTGATTTGTTTATGAAGATTCAGATTTTTTTTATATCATTGATTTTGTAATAACTTTGATAAAAAAATTCTCATACTTGTTAAATTCATATATATCACAGCAATACAGGTTGATTTTTCCGTCTTTGCTCTACAAGAAAAAGAACGCTACATATATAAAGTTTGTAAACACAGGTAAAGAATTTATCTTCATTTATCACCCCTCACAGGCTCTAACAACTATACAGAGGACATCCAAGGATTGATTATAACTGATATCATAAATGATTATTCAATCATAAACTCATGATTCATGAATATAAATCCTCTTCATTCAACAAAAAAATTGTGTGAATGATATCTTATTTATCTGATACATGTAATACATAAAAAGAAAGAAGACTTTGATTTTCTGTCAAACAATCTTTAACTACAATACATTTCATGCGATGAGAGCAATACCACCTATTGCAGTTTAAAGTGTATAGGTAGGAAAATATCTGATTTCCTGTCAAAGGTAATTTGAATTCCTCTAAATGACTTACCTTCCTTGTATCAAGGATGTACAATTCTGCACCCCGAAAGCCTATGTCTAGCAGATTTTATGTCCAGGGTAGTAAAAGTGTTCAATCTACTTTGAAAATATAGGTTTGGCTATTAAAAATGTTTGAAAGACATTTTAATTTTCCTTAATTCTAGATAAGTTCATGCCTTAACCACTGTGATGTACATATACCTGTTACCTTGACCGATGATCATGTACACATATATATCTGTGACCTTGACCGATGATCATGTACATATATATCTGTGACCTTGACTGATGATCAATTTAACCACTGATCATGTAAATAAATATACTTGTGACTTTGTCCGACTTTGTACATTGTATTGAAGAACGTTTAGCTTAAAAGAAATATACATGTATTAAAAATTGTAATATATGTATTTTTGAAAAATGCAAAACAAAACTAGTGAAACTCGTTTTTTAGAGTTCCTACACATTAGTAGCCAGATGTTTAATTAATAGGACTTCACTTTATACATGTTTTTTAGCACGACATCCATTATAAATCCTTAAAACACACACCAGTGAATTAGAGCCTTACCTTATATAGAGAACCCTTGACTTGCTCTACAGGTTCTTTTGTATACTCCACATTCTGCTCCTCGAAGAACTCCTCCAGAGCTAAGGAAGCACACTCCACACCCACCACAGTGTGTCCTTTATCAGACAACCTGTAACGCAATACTGGGTCTTCATTCTTTTTTGTCAAGTCTCTCCAAGCAAACTTGTGAAGAAGGAAGGGAGTAAAACCTTTTATTTTTCTACCCCATTTCACATTCTATTTCAATACACTAACTATACTTTTAATACTGTATGTCAAACAAGACAGTAAATATGATGGCATCTGCCACTTAGACATGGCAGAAATGAGAAGACATCGACTCATCATGAAGAGTAATCCCTAACCATAAATACATATTAACTATATATATTTCATACAAAAATTATTAAAGAAGTTTTATCAACTTAAATTAATCACTCTCATTTGCTTGTATGGTAGTGTGCATGGGGTCTAAATGTACGAGGAAACCAGAGTACCCAGGGAAAACCCACATTGTTGGGCAGGTGACCCCATACGTTTTTACGTCCGATGGGGGAATCGAACCTAGGCAGTCTTGGTAAAAGGTGAGTGTGCCATCCAATGTTCCAGATGTTGTTTGACAGCCCAGGTTCCTTAATTAGACAGGGCAAGAAATGTCAGGTCATTACGAAGGAATGCGTTTCCTAGAGTGTAAGGGCATTGTGAATGATATTCCTTACATTGACAGGGCAGAAAATGTAAGGTAAATGTAAATAGCATCCCTGACTTACACATCTGGCTGGAAATGTGACGTCATCATTAAATATTCCTCAATAAATCCCAAAACAAAGCAGAAGAAACATTGTCCTAACATTATTTTAAGTCTAATCAATCAGTTATTTGAATTGAGTTGTTTTTCTATTCTTTAGATCTCACTTACCATTTTATATCCAGAGATTTACCACAAAGTGGCATAAAAATGTCGATGTTTTCACACTTGTTCAGTAGTTTGTCAACATGCTTCTCTAATAAACTGAAACAAAGAATAAGCATCTGGATCAGGATCCAATTATACTGTGTTCAGTGCATTATGGTTTATGGTAAAACGATTGATACGATTGATGGCATTGACCCCTTAAGTTATCATGACAGAATCCAATATCTATGCTCACACAAGAAAAACTAATCTGATTGATTCCATGTATCAAATTAGACACAATGGATCTTGAATGTTGCATCTGAACTGATATGAAATGAGGCAAATGAGGTCCTACTGGTTTATGGTAGGGAGATAATGTGTATGGCCGACAAACGAAACTCACTTGTTGGATTTTGATAGACATGCAGTAACTTCAGCAAGTAAGAATTTCTAACAGCATATCAAATTGTATGGAGAATCTCATTCTTCAGAGTGATTTCTAAATTTGAGGGGGAAATAACTGGAGAGTCTAAGAATTTAGGAGACAGGGATTATCAAGAATTTAATCGTAAAAATACATTGACTTACGGATGGACTGTATCCTGATGGAAACCTATTTGTTTCACTGTCCATCTCTTTTGCCATTCATCGACATCAAGGACAGTGAATTTAGTTTTTTTGGCTGCAGATACTGAATCTTCCGAGTTGGAGGACATTTTCTGAAGTAAAAGAAAATTCCATTTAAGAGGGATATTCTATGAATTAACCAATGATGTATAGAAAGTAATGTTAGATGTTTTAGAGGTTAGATCCAACACCTGACAAATGTGACATCATCTTGGATTCAATGTGTACAGGTAAAGGAGTCAAAGGATGTCAACTGTCAGAGTCATTTTACTTGTGTAGGCTAAAAGGAAGTTCCATTTGAAACTAAGTGGTCATTGGTCTCATCTTCAGTGGAGGCACTTAATCTCTGCGTTTGTCATCTCTATTACAAAAAAATGTCCATGACCCTTCTATAAATGGTCATTGGTCAGGAATTTAAAAACCTGATTTGTGGAAGTCTTTGGGGATTAAGTCGAAAAATGGGGGAAGAAGTGGAAAAGGATGTGTATTGTGCATGTTGACTGACTACGTTCTGCTGCAGGGAATTTCAGCTAAGTGGGAAAATGTTGGACTAGGTAATTTAGAATTTCTGTTTTGATACTGAGGAAAATTAGTTATCAATTTACTCATTCCTATTACGTATATAATCCAGGAGGGTACCAACTTTGTTGGATGTTGATGTGAACCTCTAAAACAAAAATAAATTAATAGCATGTACACCATAACATCAGAAATACATTCTGTGTCTTGATTCTTTTGTTCTGTGAATTGCTCAGAAAGAAGATCAGGTACCTGATGCAAAATATTACACCTACAGGTAAAAATTATCTTAGTTGAATTCTGATCTAGCAGCAACATAAACACCATCTAATGATTGGCTCAATCAACCTGTTCTACCCGGGCAGAGGAGTCCCGGGTATTAATATTAGTACTAGGGTGTGTATTACATGTACATCAAGTGTGTCCCGAATGTTAGACCCCTTAAAACTCCACCCACAAGCTACCATGATCTACCTATACAGTATGACAAATTGTAAAGTTACTAATGTATTTGTGTGCAAAGCACTACTCCAACAGTGTTAGATTACACGGCGAGCATGGGGGCTCTGTTTCGAGATACTTTTATACACATTCTAAAACCTCCGGGACATTTTACACTCCTATTACAGGAATCTATTCCCGTAGTTGGGCGGACCATGTCCACACCCAAGAAGGAAGAAGAAGAAGAAGAAAAATTGAGGGTACCGAGGTGTGCCCCTGTGACATTGAGATACTTTTCGCAGTCGGCAAAATCATATCCGATAGAATAAAGGATACTCTTATGTTTAACATAAAGATAATCATTATGTTATAGGAGTATACAAATCACCTGACCTGTGGGATTTCACCTAACCCTAGTACTAATATTAATACATACGACCTCCGCTATAATAATGCCTTGTCGTTAGAAGATACGTTATCGCAGCTAACAGGCTAACCTTACGTAACCCCAGACAACATTAACTTCCAGAGCAGTCCTAGTACTAATATCAATACCCGGCTTCCTCTGCAAACAAAATCTCTCGTCGTCAGAAAGCTACGTTATCGCAGCTACAGCAGTCCGAGTGTCCGACAAACATTAAATTAAACAATATACATTGCAATATTTTCAAATTAAATTATTAAATCTATTCAAAACTATTTGTGAGTATACCCGTGAATGTACGTAACTAAGGACTTTAATATTTGGTATAATACCTGTGTGCACGTGTGAACTGATCGTGTCGGCCGATTTTGGTTAGCGGAAGTCGTTTTTGGACTTTCAAAGTGAAAGTAGATCTTAAAATAATATCATGTTTCGTTCATATAAGATGTCGATGAAACAAAAAGCAAACTCCAAAATATTTCTTTTCACAACATGGCTTTGTCAGGAAATACTAAAATTTACATTTTGTATTGACATGTAAACCAAAATATATTTCTTTTATATTCGTTTATTTTCGGGTAGTTCCGTATTAAATATCGTCCAATCAAAACTCGTTCCGGGAAAATTTGAACCACAATTCCATTCGCAAAACAAAATGGATTCCTACAGATAGGTAAATGATGGTTAAGCTAAATTATTTGGTGAAGCTAAATTAGTAGAATCTGTACAAATTGAGGCCATGAAAATAATAACTGGATTACGAAGTGGAACATCACATCAGAAACTATATACTGAAACTGGTTTTAAACTGCTCTCTTCTAGGCGTCATAAGCACAGACTCATATGACACCTGAATATTTACATGACATTGTTAAACCTTATATTAATGATGCTGATCCACCTCATAATCTTAGGCAACACAGGTGTTTTAATATTCCAGTTAACAGTTATGATCATTTAACAAAGAACCAGGTTTTGGTGGTTGAAAAAAGCTTGAGTACCCAGAGAACGACCACTGACCTGCAGTTCATACCTGGGTGGCAAATGTCCAACGTAGGCCTCGAACCCATGACCCAGTGGTTGAGGGCTAGCTATTGTAGTCGGTCAGACACTTGTCCACCATCCCCCCCNTGATTATGAAATTAAATGAAATTGGCAGATTGGTAATCAATCTCAGCGTCAGTTAAATGAACATTATAATTATTTCCCTCCTGAATAGCTATAGGGAGTTTGCAAGTATGAATATATTGTTTACTATTAAAGTTGACCTGATATTGACCAATCAAATAAGTTTTTTGAAACGTTAAATTCCTTCTGAATTCTTAAAATCAGTGTCACTTTATTTTGTTTGAAGACTATGCAAGTGTTGGAGGAAAAATTGTTGATTTCTCAAAAATCTGCCATTGTGTGCATGATTGATAATTAGGATTCTGTTTTTGTATGTTTCTTAAAGAAATGTGGCTCAGCACAACAGATTAACTAAGTTTCTGTTTACAACAAGTAATCTGAATTCAACTTGGTTGTAATCCTGTTTACATGGTAGAAAATGATATTTTCACTGTATATGCGTCTCTTTCATTTTCAGAGCTTACCGTATTTATAATTTATAGTGAGTGGACTGTTAATGAGAGGAAAATGGATAACATTAAAGTTGCCATTCGTGTCCGCCCGCTGATTGGAAGGTAATTATAAGGAAAATCAATTGAAGAATGCATTTATAGATTCTAAATCAGGGTGTCTGCTTGCAATTTTTTTTTGATTTTGCTTATTTTCATGGAAGTTGAGCAGTATTTAGATATTTTTTAACAAGGGAACAGGGATATTTGTTATCCAGGGACTTACAGGACAAGCACAGTTCTAGTTTTGAGATTTGGCAAAGTTGTCCGATATATTGTGAAAAGATACATGTACCAAAACGTGGTCCTAGAATGTTCAATGTTGGACTCATCCCGTAACTTGTGTTATAAGGTGCTATATATGTACCAAATTATGAAAGAAAAGCTCAAAAAGCATTTTATACCATCACATTTATGCACATTCTAAACCAGAATAGAATATGAGCAAACTTGTATTGAAAATATTATGCGAAAGTTGCAACTTTTATTTAGATATTTTTGGAAAATGTTAGAATATCACTGTAATGATATTTGTTAGAGAAAAAGAAAAACATCCTCTTTTTAGTTTTTAACAAATTTTCTGATTCAAAAAATATAAAAGAGTTTATAGCAACTTCTTTTGGCCTGGTTGCAGACATGTTTCTGTCAGCTAGGCAGACTGTCATCATGATCAGAGCACAATATTTCTACTACGATGGTTGTATGATGAAGTTTAAGTGACAAATTTTGTTAGAGTTATGAACAAAATGCAAATTATGTACTATTACATGTGATTAAATTACCTTTCTAAAGATACATATATTTAAAATGTGTTAAAACAATCATAGGATCTTTTATATCCCAAAGATAAAATGTACGTTACTTTATTTCATTTAAATATTGGTTGATTTATGTAATTTTGTTGATACACAGGGAGAGTGGTATGGTAAACCACTGGATCGTACAGGACAATACACTCAAGCCAACAGATGCAGTTGGAAAGCAAGGGACATCTTATACGTTTGGTAAGCAGTTTAAGTATTTTAGGATTAGGATGCATCGCATATATTTATGTTCATAACAGTAAAGAAATCATTATTACATTTTTATTGGTGTTTCTTTTTATTCCTGATACATTTTAAATAAACTGTGTAATCAAATTTGGAGAAGCCCTTTTTGGGGGGGAATAAAGTCATGTTTTACGTTGTTATCTTTCCCATTAGAGGCCAAACATAAATCAGAAACTTTGAATTTGATGACAAAACATAATAAGGTTGGTCCCCCATTAGTCATCATGGTTATAATCATATTGAAAGACCCATTCCATTCTAAATCAGAACATTTTCACATGTAATACATCTCTGTGTAACACTTCCATAATAGTATTTTGAGTTACTTTTGTGAAGAGATATTTTGAAAAACTAAATATCGCCAATAAAATCTTCATCCAAACATTTCTTTTTTGTTTATTCTCAGATCGTATATTTGATGAGCTCATGACAACCTATGATGTCTTTGATGAAGTTTGTAAACCAATCATTGCCGGAGCTGTGCAGGGATTTAATGGTAAATATCATGTCTATATATATATATAACTTAATAAAAGTCTTTGAGAATCTTTCTTAGTTATATAGATTATAATTTTAAAATATCAATTGATATTTTTGCGTATTGAGAGAAGAAAAGACAGAAATGAAAATGCTGAACCAGATATTTTTAAGCCGCTCTTGGCGAGAGCCGAGCGGCTTATTAATTCTGTCCAGAGAACGAAATGATGGACCCACTTCCGTTCGGGTTGCGTGCGCATAATTCAGTATTGCATGCTTCCGCTATATCGTTTCGTTATCGTAAATAGAAAGAAGAATCTCTGACACTCACCTGTAGGTTACATAAAGTCTTCTGATACTCTTCTCCAAATAATAATCCATACTTTAAATAATTGCTGAAAACAAAATGTTGATCTCCGATGCATTCTATGAGTGTTGTGGTGGCGAAATTCGTGCACTAGGTTTGAGCGTTTTAGCAACTCGGATTGCGGTCTGGGGAGTGTTACGCGTGTGAAACACATATGATTCGAGAAAGCACATGTGAAGACTGTCAAGCATTGACGCTGTCTGTAGAAGGAAGAAGTAAATATATGAACTTATAAACCGTATGAGTGATGAAGTATAACCTCTATTTTGATGTTTGAAACGGTAATGTATAATGCCATATCGTGCTTAGATTGATAACGGTAGACTAATGGCTCCGAGACAAGACGATATGTGAACTGTGTATGCTTATCAAACATTTTTGTAACACAGCATGCTATTTCTGGTGTATTTATTTATGAAAATGTAACAATTTAAGAACATGACACAGCCGCTGCTGTTTGACAAGAATTCGCGCCGTGTCAAAATAGTATCCAATTGGGGGGTGTAAGGGAAATAACTCTTACGTTGGTAAAGTCGCATTGAGAAATATAATTCAAATATATTCCAAGAACATTTGTGAGATTTTGTATATTCAATGACGGTAAATATAGTCGCTACAAATATTAATAATTTTCACTAATATGAATAAAAAATAAATAAAAATAAAAGGAGTACAATGTCTCTTTTCTCCATTCATGTTTTCCCACTACTGTTAAATATTCTTCATTTCACAAGCAAAAAATGCACCTATTCTTTATTATCCATTCGCCGATTGCCATTCTGCACGTAAACGCTCATGTCACATCATTGGAGGATGCTTATTAATGAAAATTACAACAATGCGTCACACTTAAAGAGGGTGAAAAAAGAGGAGAGGGAGAAATATTTTTAAGGCATCATTTAAGAGGTGATTGATTTTGAAAATCCTAAACGCAACATCATCAGATGACCTGATTTTCAATTAGCAGAATACAGAACACATATCTGAGTTATTATAGTAGATTTTTATGCTCAACGTGTCACTGAAGCAATTAAATTTAAAGTGGTGAGCGGCTGTAATGTCACACTGACATAATTCTAGTTTTATTTATTTTTTATCAATTACACAACCTATTACATTATGAATTCATTTGTAGGAACAATATTTGCCTATGGCCAGAGTTCCTCTGGAAAGACATTCACCATGTCTGGGGGTGCCATGCAGAAGGGAATCATCACACTCTCTGTGGAGGAAATATTTGCCACAATAGAAGCTGTAAGTTTGACTCTAGTTTGTAAAGTTTCACCTTATTAGTGTTTTTGTTTTTGTTTTTTTCACTACAGATATAGTTATATCTGGTTATGTTACTGAATATCTGGTAAAAACAATAACCAGCTCAGGATGTAATTTTCATTTGGTGAGGAGCTGAAATATCTGGGTGTGACTAGATAACATCTGATCACAGGTACACTTGAATGCTCGCATCATTTGATCAATATTGATATTTAACCTTCCACCGAAGACTGCTATACCAAAAAGTGTTTAGTGTACAAGCAGGTGTCTATAGAAGTGTTGGATATGACACTTTAATACAGCGGGTCTGTTATTGTAGTCACATCACCGGGAGTTCCTGATACGTGTGGCTTACATGGAGATCTACAACGAGAAAGTGACTGACCTTCTGTCCACAGAGGAAAAGGTGATCAAGATACAGGAGGATCAAGTATGTACAAATAATTACAAGGATTTTCTTGTGGTATATTTACCATAGAATAACAGTACCTTCCCTTTAATAATTCTAGCTGTATATGTTTTGCTTGGGGGTTGGTAGAATTAGAGGTGCATAGTAAGTTGAATTTTAATACCTAGTCCGCATGTATACAGTATGTCATTGGCCCCAAATGATTTGGTAAGTGTAAATCAGATTTGGTATTTAATCATTGTAGCAAAAGTGAATAGTTGTATAGCAGTAAAAAAAATTCATTTGAGTTTAAATAATGATGTTCATTTATGAACCCAACTTATGCCTAATGGAATTGACCTCCACTAAGGTGTGTGCTTGGTTGCATAATAAGAAATTAATGTCTGTATTTTATTTCAGGAAAAGAACATCCAGGTAACTGGAGTGAAAGAGGAGCTTGTCAGTAACAGTGGGGATGTCCTGGCCATTATCCAGAAAGGCGACAGTAAGTGACAGCTGCAATCATTAAACTAGACTCATGTTACAGCATCATGAAGCTTGCTATGTGACATAATCAAGAGGTAAAGTCCAGATGTTGAAAACAGTATTCCACTTCAAGTTTCTAAATTTCTATACAGTTAAATTGTGCTATTATAGATGTCTGATGGCATATATGTGTGGTATTTCAGATTTATACAGACAAGAAAATAACAGTTTTAGATTGAATTCTGTACTGTAGGCTAGTTTATCAAGTGAATACTACTGTAGAAAATGGGTATCTAAACCTCAAGTTGGATAGCAACATTAACACATGCCCAATATATTTGATATAAGATGCAAGGGCAAACAAAATGCAGGCTAAACAATAACAGTATGTTGTGTTATTACACGATCTAGATAGATTTTCTGTGTGTTGTCAACACATTCCAATGCTCCATAAAATCAAGACCATTTTGATCTGGATTGTCGTATCCTACAGTAATCTATTTATTTCCTTTTTTTTTTGCAGACCGACGTCATATGGCAGAAACCAAACAAAACGATCGCAGCTCTAGGTCACACTGTATCATACGTATTGTAAGTATAGCACACTGTAACTGACAGTTATCGGGTAATTGTCAGCATTTCTATGCACATTATTTATTTTTATGATTCCTTTTAATTTGATAAATCCAGTTCAGGTAATTCCATGTTACATAAGCATTTGTGTTATAAAAAAAAACTATTTCTTTGGCACAGGGATGACATGATAAACTAGGGTTACATTGTAATTAAACAATTTCAATCCAATTTCTATTGTTCCATGTTACAATAGTGGACTACCCAGCATATGACTTTTGTCATGCTTATTTTTTCCAGATTTTTGGTTTGTTTTTGCATAATGCATTTTTCATTTTTAAGGTCTATAAAAAATAGTATTTGGAAACCATATAATATTAATTAACAGAAATCATTCTCATTATATCAGGAACACATTAATTTCTTAAAACCTGATTTTTTTGGGGGGAATTTTGCCTAATACATGGAATAAAGATGTTCAAAGTGTTAATCTCCAACAGAGTTTGTAAAAACTAGACCCTCTATAAACCAGCCAAAACAATAGTCCAGTCATATCTGGTTTAGATGAAGGTTACACTCTCCTATTAAATGATTAAGTTCTTTTACAGCCAAAACAATAGCCCAGTCATATCTGGTTTAGACAGGTTACACTCTCCTATTAAATGATTAAGTTCTTTTAATAAAGTGAAAACAATACATGGGATACTTTCCATTTGTTTTTCACTACAGATCATTGAGAGCCGAGAGAATGGGGATGAACAAGCAGTCATGGTCGCTCATCTTGTAAGTAGCCGTAGACACTTGAGTGGCAATGTTTAGTAAGTTACCATAGACACTTGAGTGGCGATGTTTAGTAAGTTACCATAGACACTTGAGTGACATGTTAAGTAAGTTACCATAGACACTTGAGTGGCGATGTTTAGTAAGTTATCATAGACACTTGAGTGGCAATGTTTAGTAAGTTACCATAGACACTTGAGTGGGAATGTTTAGTAAGTTACCATATACACTTGAGTGGCAATGTTTAGTAAGTTATCATAGACACTTGAGTGGCAATGTTTAGTAAGTTACCATAGACACCTGAGTGGGAATGTTAAGTTAGTTACCATAGACACTTGAGTGGCTATGTTAAGTAAGTTACCATAGACACCTGAGTGGGAATGTTTAGTAAGTTACCATATACACTTGAGTGGGAATGTTTAGTAAGTTACCATAGACACTTGAGTGGGAATGTTTAGTAAGTTACCATATACACTTTAGTGGCAATGTTTAGTAAGTTACCATAGACACTTGGGTGGCAATGTTTAGTAAGTTACCATAGACACTTGAGTGGCAATGTTTAGTAAGTTACCATAGACACTTGGGTGGCAATGTTTAGTAAGTTACCATAAACACTTGAGTGGCAATGTTTAGTAAGTTACCATAGACACTTGAGCGGCATGTTTAGTAAGTTATCATAGACACTTGAGTGGGAATGTTTAGTAAGTTACCATAGACACTTGAGTGGCAATGTTTAGTAAGTTACCATAGACACTTTAGTGGCAATGTTTAGTAAACTACCATAGACACTTGAGTGGTAATGTTTAGTAAGTTATCATAGACACTGGAGTGGCAATGTTTAGTAAGTTACCATGGACACTTGAGTGGCAATGTTTAGACCACTTTATAATGATGTACCAGAAGAATTGTATCCTATTTGGAGGATATCAATTTATTCCCATTATTTCTCTTTACCCACATCCATTTTTTGTAAATTTGTTCAATATTGTAGAAAAATATCAAATGATAAAGGGTGTTTTTTTGTAACTAAGCTGCAGATGTATTAATATCTCTCATAATTTGTAAAATGATATGTTTTAAATACTAAACCATAGGTGGACCAGCTGGCTATATACCAGATCCATCTCTGTAAAAACCTGTTTGAATTTGCTTGTAAGAAAGTGTTAAATGGTGGTATATTTGTTTTTGTTGTACAGAACTTTGTAGATCTAGCTGGTTCAGAAAAAGCAGGAGAAAACTCGGGTGATCGTCTCCGTGAGGGATGCTCCATCAACAAGAGTCTGCTGATACTCGGACAAGTCATATCTAAACTCAGCGATGGAGTCAGGTAGAGACAATTACCTCCCCTTAATATACGATGTAGGAGTAGGCCCTGTTTAATCTGCTTGTTTTAAGATCCTATTAAACTTACAACAAATATGAAAAAGGCTCTCTTTCCCCCAATTTGTCAAAGATAATTATTCATTGTACAAAAAAAAAATGTCTATGGCCTCTGATACTTTATGGTTTTGTATAACCATATTATCTGTAATGGACACTTTAAAGTGATAAATCAATTAATGAATCCAGTTTTACAATTTAAAATTTCATACTTTTCCAGTAGATTATGTTTTTATTTGAGTCTGGATAAATGAACCAGGATACTGAACTTCTGTTTTTTGCAGCAACCAACATATAAGTTATCGTGACTCAAAGCTTACCAGGATATTACAAGTGTCATTAGGAGGGAACTCCAAAACAGCCATCATTGCTACCATCACGCCAGCTTCTCTGGATGAATCTCACAGCACACTCAGGGTAGGTCTGACTGTTCCACTGTTTCACATGGAGATAATGTTCTTATATAACTTTCCTTTGAGGAATAGTTAGCCAAAGTTTTATTATCTGTCTGCTCATTTTACTTTCAGGGTTAGTCTCAACCAATCATCTTTCTCATCCTTCTACATTAGGGGAAAGTGTCAAAGCCTAACAATTATCTATCTTAATATGTTGGGAATAGTCCAAAACCAAACGACTCTCTACCTCATCACTTTTCCTTGGAGGATAATCACAAAACTAAACAACTATCTGCCTCATGGCTTTAAACAGGAGGGTAGTCTCCAGTGAAACAGCTTTCTGTCTACTGTATTTATCCTGCAATCTGTCCAGGGAGCCAATACAAAATCCCTAACAATAAGTAAGAGGGCTTATAACGGGGCAATAAAATAGCAGCTGCACTGAAATACAGTATGTGTGTATAGGCTTATTGTCCATGGGTTACCTTTGGACATTTTTCATTTGGGGTATAGGTCTGTCTTATCACTTCTGATTGAGTGATAGTCTTGAAATAGATTTTCCAATGGTGCTGGTTCCAGAAAACAGTTTTTATAGGCTCTGTTGTATCTCAATAACTGAAATTTGATGAGTTAAAATTGATCGTTCCTGTTGCTTTCCATATAGTTTGCATCACAAGCCAAAAAAATTAAGAACAAAGCCATGGTCAATGAGGTTCTGTCAGAGGCAGCCATGCTCAAACAGTACCAGAAAGAGATCCACCACCAGCAGCAGTTAAACGAGGTAAGTAAAAACCCATTGGACTTTAGATGTTAAATGCTTCAAACATCAAAATGTATGGATATAATATAGAACAGTATCAGCAACATCAAAAAGCAAATCTGTGGTTTATGTTTAGTATTAACTACATTTGTTTTATTTCTCATCTTATGCATACAGCTTGGGAAAATTGAAAACCAGGATTTGAAGAAAAGTCTTGAACAGATGGAGGCACAGATAAACAACCTGAAGAAATTTGTAATCCAGTCTGGCCCCACAAAAGGTCAAGTCAAGGTATGGGCAAGCACCAGCCTCCTCTTTGACTGTATACCATCTTTAGCCTTAACTAACTTGAGGTGTCAAGTTACGTACACTTTGGAACGGTATCCATCAATCAGTCTCCATTGGTTTCTGGACAATTACTCATGACAGATAACTTGAACAGCTTGATGGGAGCTTTTTAGTTTTAGTACGAAACAAAAAACCTAAAGTGCAAGCTATATGAATTCTGCATTGCAGATTCTTGTAAAAGTTTGCACTTTGCCATTTTCTTCTCCTCAATTTTTTTAAATCAATACTTTGAATCATAATATTTCAAATATCTTTTCCTTTAAAAAGTTACAAAAATGTATCAAAAATGCTTGTTTATTGTTTCATAGTCTATATGTAATATCTGTGTAATAGTATGACAAAATAGTTACTATTCATTTTTTTGTCGTGATATTTTTCTTTCATAAAAAAATATACCAACAGTTTTCAAATATTTAGCAACAAACCATGAAAATTAGTTGATATTACCCGTTGTCTATAAAAAAAAAAAATCGATTATATTATCATCATTGAATGTAAGAATGGTTGATGAAATAAAGTCTGTAATTGTCTGGTGTGTTAGGAAAGAGAGCAGAATTTACTGTGGGGAAAAAAATAAAAAAAAAAATGTTGTGACAAAGTCCATGTGACCGATTACAATGTCTTTATTTGGTAACAGTTGTCAATTGAAAATGTATATTTTCACTTGTAGTGTGAATACTTACAGGTTCTTCACTCATGCTTTGCATTCATTCCAAATACTTAAGAATTCAATCCACTTCATCAAATATAACTGTTATTCATTAAGCAACAGCTAATATTCAAATTGGACGGTTTACAATATTTATTTCATTAAAGAGGTGACATTTCACTTTCTATCTTTTTATCATAGAGAAAGAGAAGAGAGACGTGGTGTCCAGGCAAAAACAAGAGAATGAGCATTTTCAGGCCCTCGGCTTCCTTCGCAGGTAGGTGCAGCGTTCCATTGAAATCCAGTTTATTTAATTCACGAATGATTGAAGCAAGAACCTACAAAAGATTAAATTTATGGTTTCTCTTAAAGATTTGTTCCTGTTAATGTTGATAATGTATCCATCATTTAAAAGTATTTCATCCCAATTTGGTCTAGAGCATCCTTGGGTAAAAGAACCTCAATTTTGTATAACCAGTGAGTGTGAAAATTTAAACAGTAGCATCCTATTGGGAAGGGAAATCAATTTTGTATAAATGGTGGGTCTGACCCCCCTTGGGCCTGAGGGGTGGGGCCCAATAGGGGTAATTTAGCAAATTCTTTAAAATTCTTCTTCTTCGGTAGGAATGACAGGATTTTGTTGGGTCTGACCCCTGGGGGCGGGGCCGAATAGGAGAAACATAGCAAGTTCTTCAAAATCCTTTTTCTTTTGTAGGAATGACAGGATATTATCCAAATTTGGGAGGAAGCACCCTTAGTTGAAGGGGAACAAATTTTGTATAAACTGTGGGTTTTAACTCCCTGGGGCGGATGGGCCATGCCCAATAGTGGATACATAGCAAATTATTCAAATTCCTCCTTTTCCTGCAGAAATGACAGGACTTTGTCCAATTGCATATAAATATAACCCCTGACTAACCATGTAATACGTATACATGTACAGCAACATCTGGCTATTTCAACTTCAATTTTGCTAACATTTCCAGGTGAGCGATACAGGCCCTCTGGGCCTCTTGTTTGATGTTTGCAACAGATTAATAAAATATGACAGCCATATAGTGACCAACAGCACATATTATCCCCAGCTGGTAGATGGATGTCTACATAACCTTGAAGGTTTTAATATTTGGTTTACAGTTGAAGAGGATATTTTTCTGTCCGAGATGCCGCCAATGGATGATCTTCCTGAATCTCTCACCAATGATGAAGATGTCCCAATGGGGCCTACCAATGTAACAACAAGGAAGCGGTCATTAGAGCAAATCAAATCACAAGAAAAAAGGTCAACGATAAACAGGAGTCCTGATGCCAAGACCAAGCAAATAATGGAACTGTAAGTTTGGCAATGAGGTCGGCTGTTTAAATCCTGATAAGGTTAACACAAACTTTCAAAGTGTTGTTTTAGAGAATCATCTGTCAGAACAAAAGACTACATCTGTGAATTTAGTTAGATTTGTAAGGTAAATCGTTTGTTGGTACTAAGAGTTATGGCACAATTGATTTAAGTTGTTTGTATATTACATATTTTTATACGCCCGTCGAAGACGGGGACGTATTATGTTATCACGTGAGCGGGCGGGCGGGCGGGTGGGTGGGCGGGCATGCGACGATGTCCGCTCGATATCTCAAGTAATTATTAACAGATTAACTTCAAACTTCACAACAAGGTTAATTACCATGAAAGCTCGGACAAGTTCGATAACCGCCATTATCCGACCATAATTTGTGGAGTTATGCTCCTTTATGGACTTGTCGAAACAGTGTCCGCTCGATATCTCAAGTAATTATTAACGGATTAACTTCAAAATTCACAACAAGGTTAATTACCATGAAACCTCCGACAAGTTCAATAACCCCCATTATCCGACCGTAATTATTGGAGTAATTCCCCTTGGTTTCATTATTGCGATGCATGTGTTCCATGATGTTGAATTGCACTCATTGATCTACCAGTTATGTTGAATAATTTCTCTTTGAATATCAATTACTCACAAATACTTCATATATTTCAATCATACAAACAACTGCTCATTCAATGTGTGACGGGCGTATTATATACCGCTTGCGGTAACCTTGTTTTCTATTATATATAGTCATTTTCTGCTATGCTCTTCAGAGAAGACAAATATGAAACTCTGCTGAAGGAACATGCCCGACTCCAGACCGAGTTTAACGATATGTCAACCTTCCATAGCCTTGAGAGAGAAACACTGGAGGAAAACATTGCTACACTGCAGGGTGTAAGTTCTGTGTTAAGCTTTACAGTGTTGATGCATAGTTCATTGTGCAAACATTTAAGTCATTTAGATGAATACTCTCCAAATAGCATTATTATACATTAAATTTAAAAAGGAAGAATATGCACATGAATTTTAAGTAAATCTATGTGTAAAAAGGTCAGTAAAAGGTCATTAATTGTCCGAAGTGTTTGAGACTGACTGACTTCAGTGGTGGTCTGTTAACTATCGCCTCACCGTCTAGA